CTAAATCGGTATGGAATCAGGTTAAAATCGCAACGGGCAAAACGAAAGCCGACTAGTCATCGCACAGCCCCAATCCGAAAGTAAACCTAGGTCTTGCCCTAAACCCAGCACACTGGTCGCTAATGTCTCAAGGCATGAATCGAGATCCTAAAGGCATGTCTCTTTGCCCACATCTAAACACTCGCGAAAATCGAAATCTCCCGAGTTAACGAATCGGACGATTTACACCAAAGAGTTAGATACGAGATGACAACTCGTATTCTTCCCTCTACATCTAACATAAAATACGAATTTCATACTTAGAAAATATTTTCTTATTAAAAGCATCAAAGTACATACCGCCCAGCGGTAGGGATTCAAAGCCACCAACGGCCAGTCCCGGAAAAACAACAACAAAATCGAAAAACTAAGAACATCACACATTGAAGTCATCACACGCAGACTGATCAACTTCACCATCCACGTCCGAAATCCTAGGACCAATTTCGACCGAATCCGGAGACACCACGATGGGATTCCATTGATCCCACATGCGCGCCTTAAGGTCGAAAAGTTCGGGCTGCATATCTCTTTCCCGATTCAGGTTTTCTCGCCGTGCGGAGAATTCCTTAGCAAACGAATACCCTTCATTCTGAGTTAAGGATAACCCATGAATGATCCCGCGACATTCGCGATAATCACCATACGCCTGTTGAACAACTTTCGCATCTGAACAACCGGTTGCAAATCGCTCACGACGAGCCTTCATCTCCTCGGCAACCTCTCGTTTGCCCGCACGACGAGCACGACGAATCCTTTGGTCAGAAAGCTCCTTGGCACGACGGGACCTAGCCGCACACTCATCCCTCACGCGAGCAACCTCCCTCGCAACCACTTCTTCGGCTTGGTTGGCCTCGACCTCTGCCCGAAGACGAGCAACTTCTTTTTCGGCCATGTTCGCTCAAAACTCGGCGAGGCGAGCTTCAGCGGTACGGCTGTCTAGGGCTCGGCTCATGACAAGGAAACCCTACCAAAGAAAAGAATTAAGCGATATCATAAAAACTGCTCGAAAAAGAAAACAATAAACACACGTAGCTCCTTAGCTTTCTCAGACCCCCTAATAAACTCCAGGACTTGATCATGGTCGATGTCCGGAAAATGGGAGGTCGATGATCCACCCGCCTTCGTCCAGACGCCTTCTTCCGTCTGACTATCAAGAAAATCCTTGAGAATATTGTCAGGAGAAGCCGTGCGTTCAGAATCATCATCTTCGACAACCGGATTTTTATCCCTTCGGAAGCTTGATTTGCCACTCCTCGTCGAGGGAACATACGGAATAAACTCCCCGATAAACGAATCCTCTTCATAAATCGGAGAATTCGCAAAGAGTCGAGATCGGAAGAGGACAACCGCTTGGCGGACGCGTTGCGGAGAAAAACTGCACCAACCAACTTCACCACGTTTGATAGAAGTGGTGATGTTTTGGAGATCCGCGGGATGCGGAGGCAAAGGATTGGTCACTGCGGAAAAACAGAAACGAATAAAAAAAATGATAATAAGAGGAAGAGAATTCGTATGAACTCGATTCACATACCTCTCCGACCCCACGTGGTCGTAAAAAGCGGAATGCTACCCTCCTCGACCGACGCACTGTCGATACGAACGTAGAAGAAATTTTTCTTCCAAGAAGTAGAAAGCGTTGAGCAGCCCTAAACAATTTCATCACGAGGGCATAGAGTGATCCTCCGCGATTGCCCCGTGGGCTTTAACAGACCCTCGAGATGATCAACGTTAAGGGTAATTCCCTGCTCATAACTCAGCGTCAGGAGACCAACGAGTTGCTTTAAACCAGGGGGAGTCAGCTGACTGATCGATAGCCCCAGCCTGTGAAGGTAATGAACAATGATTTCCGGGATCGGAAACCATAAGTGGCATTGTTGCAAGAAAATTTTGTAACATGTGAAAAACCCCTCGGGCGCATCCCTGTCGCCCTCCCCGGCAAGTGGGGAACGAAACTCGACAGCCACTGGAACTCGGCAAAATTCGCGCATGTAATCGATACTGTTAAAAAGCGTCAAGCTCGGATGTCCGGAAATTTGATCGACGTCCGACAAAGCTGGAACCCAAGTCCCAGGCCTAGCGAACCCCGACTCGTCTCCCAACGCCCAAAAAGCCTCGAGGTCCGTCGGATCGATTAACGGGGATGAATACTCTTCTTTCGGAGCCGAAACTGGAGGCTGCGAACTCGTTCCCTCAGAATTGTGAAAATTGGAACTAGTCGAGGAACGAGTCTTTCTTCCTGAACACATGTTTGAAGATCTTCAAAGAAAGTGGAGAGAAAATTTTCTTGGATAAGTTGTAGAAGGTAGAGTAAAGAATTCAAAATTTTACTCCATCTACTTATAGGGAAGAATTTTACTATTCACCTTTGGACTTTTGGCCATTAAAGTTCCGCCTAATTCTACCAAACTCGCCAAACAAGCTCAATCCACTCGCAAGAACCACACGATTCTTACGAGCTGGGGGGCAAACTGTTGGGGTCAAAATCGGTACGACGGAATCAATAGCCAAAATTCCCCGTAAAAACATAAAAGGAATAGTTTTATAAAACCCAAAGATCGTTATAAGATAAGAAGACGTTTTATGAAACTCGCAGATCGTTTTATGAAACTCAAAGATCGTTTTATAAAACTCGAAGATCGTTTTATAAAACTCGAAGATCGTTTTATAAAACTCGAAGATCATTTTATAAAACTCGAGAAACCGTTTTATAAAACTCGAAGATCGTTTTATAAAACTCGAGAAGACGTTTTATAAAACTCGAAGATCGTTTTATAAAACTCGAGAAGCCGTTTTATAAAACTCAAAAATCGTTTTATAAAACTCGAAGATCGTTTTATAAAACTCGAGAAACCGTTTTATAAAACTCGAAGATCGTTTTATAAAACTCGAGAAGCCGTTTTATAAAACTCGAAGATCGTTTTATAAAACTCGAGAAGCCGTTTTATAAAACTCGAAGATCGTTTTATAAAACTCAAGAAGCTGTTTTATAAAACTCAAAAATTGTTTTATAAAACTCGAAGATCATTTTATAAAACTCGAGAAATCGTTTTATAAAACTCGAAGATCGTTTTATAAAACTCGAGAAACCGTTTTATAAAACTCGAAGATCGTTTTATAAAACTCGAGAAACCGTTTTATAAAACTCGAAGATCGTTATATAAAACTCGAGAAGCCGTTTTATAAAACTCGAAGATCGTTTTATAAAACTCGAGAAGCCGTTTTATAAAACTCGAAGATCGTTTTATAAAACTCGAAGATCGTTTTATAAAAATCGAGAATGGTTTTACGAAACCGCAAAAAACTGAAACAGCCGTAAAACGCGAACTAGTCCTGTCCCGACTAGTTCGCCCACGGGCGACCTAAGCCAGCTTGGCTTAGTTCACCGGTGGGCTAACTAGTCCCGTCCCGACTATTTCGCCCACGGGCGAACTAAGCCAGCTCGGCTTAGTTCGCCGGTGGGCGAACTAGTCCCGTCGCGACTAGTTCGCCGTTGGACGAACTAGAGACTTCCTAGACGTCCCGAGCCTCGATCTCCCGCATCCCCGATTCGAAACTTACGTCTTTCGACACGGTCACGTTCTGAACCACGACCGAAACGTCTCCCATTCCATCTCGATCTGACCTATCGTTCGAGTTTTACGATAAAAACCGTAAAACTTCGCTTTCTCGACAAAGAACTCGAGGAAATCGTATAAAACGGTAACGGTTAAACAAAACACCGAACATTGCCTAAACTATACGATTTATTCGAGATTTGTCGTTGAAATCATAAGAAACGCGTTTTTAATAAAAACGTCGAGTAATCGTAAAAAACACGTTTTTAATAAAAACGTCGAGTAAATCGTAAAATCTTACGATTAGTTCAAGGAATTTACTAAAAACGGCATCAGATCAGGGAACGATCCCGTACAAAGTCAGAAAAACGGATTTATCGCAGAACGGCCCGGAAGGTCCTAAAACGCGATAAAAACCCATCTCGCGATCTTAACAGAATCTAACCCGAAGATACGATAACGTTTTGACGGTTTACTCGCAGAAAGAAAATAAATGTCAAGTTTGAAGATAAAAGGAAGGTTTGAAGAAAAATAGAAGATTTTCGCGGAAGAAAGGGAAGGACCGAGAAAAATGGAAAATTCCCGATATAGTCAAATCTGGGCGAAATGGAAAGACCGAATGGCCAAGGCGAGGAGTATATAAATAAGAGGTCTAGGGCAGAAGCAAGGGACACGATTTTCAGAGCTCTCACCACCAAAATTAGCATTTAGGAATATTTCCGTTTTCTGTTAGCGAGCTGCGTCTCAATTAGGGTTTTTCGTTCTTAAGTTTTCGGCTACTCTCTTTGTACCAGTTCTACGCAGATTCGGAATAAGAACCTCTTTGCTCTTGATTTTCGTTTATTCTTTTAATAATTCTATGTTTATCGTTATCTTAATCTTCGTTGTGCGGTTCTGCAGATAGCCGGTTCCTCTGGAAACTTAGGGTTTNTTTCGGCTACTCTCTTTGTACCAGTTCTACGCAGATTCGGAATAAGAACCTCTTTGCTCTTGATTTTCGTTTATTCTTTTAATAATTCTATGTTTATCGTTATCTTAATCTTCGTTGTGCGGTTCTGCAGATAGCCGGTTCCTCTGGAAACTTAGGGTTTTCCCGAAGTTTCCTTATTTACGATTATTTGACAGTAGGTAGGTGGATTTCGGTTCCCACAGTCAACTTGTAAAACTCTCCTTTAAGCTCCATAAGACACCTAAATCATCACTTTATGACAAAATGCTTTTGAACCTGAAAACATACCTAATAGACTCCAAAACATAGATAATTATAATAAAAACATATAGAAAATATGACCAAAAATGGGTCAAAATCATGGTATATCATCGGCCCATGACAATTTTATTACTGAAAACATCAGGCCCCTATACTCGCTTGAACATAATAATTAATACAAGAATTTACTCCCAAAACAAATGAATCAAATAGAAACAACAAGAAGAGAAAGAAATCTCATAACACAAGACGCAAAAGATTGAATTTCAATAAAACAATGGCAGTGTATCTCTTTCTCACATTACGCGTATCACTTAAAAATAATAATAACATTAAACTTTAACGGTAGCAAAAGAATATTTTATATCCAGACTCTGCTTAGATTGATTTGGTGAAGAGTTTAGCAAGAGGATTCCGTCTTGGTCATGTACCTGTACAGAACTCTCTTCTTCTTCTTGCTAGAGACATTGTCAACGGTAAGAACAATCTTACCAGACTCACTGTTCTTGAAACTGTTCCTCAACGGTCCTTCGTTTGATCCAATCTTCTTCCCCTTTTGGACAATAATGGTGTAAGCTCCTTCATTTGTTGGCACAAACTCTTCCTTGTAATTCACTTCCCATCCCAAAACCACAATGTCCCAAACCAATGTACCTTCAGTCTATGAAACAAACCAAAAAAAATAACCATTACTAGATCGTTCTTTTACAATCATGAAACAAGAACGGAGTTTGGTTTCTAAACTCTTACTTCAGGAGCTGGGATCTCTATGGTTTCAGATGATCCAGGCTTAACGAAAACTTCAGAAACAGCTTCGTTGGAGAATTCGGTATCATCATCTCTTTTGAAACCACCGTACTGAACACGGATCTCCTCTGCTGGAATATACCTACAATGCATAAATGTTATGATATAAGATCAGTGACATTTCAGAGCACATTGTGGGTTTTTAGCATTGGGTGCTTACTTGAGAAGAGTTTCAGTGACATTAGCTGGACGAGTCACAACAAACTTGCTCTTGGTTCTTTGAGTTAAGAAGGGAGACAGGAGGGTGCTGCCAGCGTAGAACCAGAAGGGAACATTTATGAACACCTGCAGAACATTAAAAAACAAAAGTCAGGAGAATGAATCCTAAAATTTGTATCAGATAATATTAAATGATGAGCTCACATTTCTTGAGACGAGTTCCGGATAATTGTCCTGCAAAGCTACTATTGCGTTCTTGATTGCGACCCACAGCTCTTTTTTCAGCAATCCAGGACAGTTCTTGAGATCATGGATCTGGAGAAGAGAAGTGACACCACCTGGTTTCAGAACAAGCTTCTGGATTCCCTTCTCCATCAGCTGAAAACTCCATCTCAATAGATTCTCTCTTCTCTGCTCTGACCCAAATATCCTCTGGTACAGCTCCTCGTTGCCGAAAACGCTGTAGATTTTGTAACAGACAGGGCGTGATTCAAAGTCAAGACCATTCATGTAAGCTGCAGAGGCAAGATCCTCCCCAAAGTCTTCTCCAAGGTTTGAATTAATCTTCTGTTCCTTTCTCCACTTGAGGGTTTTCTTGAGCATCTCAAAGGCTTCATTGACTTTGAAGTCTCTTGCTCTCAAGAACTTCAAGAGGATTACATCAGTTCCTTTAGCTCCTTTGCTTGGAAGCAGTGGCACTCCCCATAGCTCGATATCGTTATCAACAGTCTCATCTTCTTCCTCAGTCTCAGCTTTGGCTTCTTCGGTAACAACAGCCTCCGTCTTCTTCTCTCCTTCTTTTTCAACATTCTCATCTTTAACTTCCTCCTTAGTGTCGACATCAACAGCCTCCGTATTTACTTCTTCTTTGGGGCTTTCCTTCTCAATAACAGCCTCAATGGTCTCAGCTTTGGCCACTTAGGTTACATTAGCATCAGTCTTGGCTGTTTCCTTAGGTCTTTCCTCAGCAACAACCACTGGTTCACTAGTCTCAGCTTTAGCTTCTTCCTCGGTAACAACAGCCTCACTCTTCTTCTCATCTTCAGCTTCCTTCTTCTTCTCCACAACCTTGACAGGACTCTCTTTCTTCTTCTTGAAGAGAGTGTTTTCAACAATAGCTTCCTCAAGCTTTGTCTTGAGATCGCTGAGAGCCTTTTTCTCAGAGTCTTTCAAATCAGAGGAGAAATCACTCTCTTCCTTGAAAGAAGAGATCTTCTCCACACCCTTAGGCTTGCTCCCATCACCTTCTTCTACAACCTTAGTCTCTTTCTCTTCAACTTCTTCCTCAACAACACCTGCTTTCACTCTTGTTATTGCTTCCTCCTCCACTGAAGCAATAACAACCTCAGACGACTCCACCTGCTTCTCCTCAACCTTAACTTCAGCAGTCATATTTTCCTGTAATCAAATTGAAACAATGTTTAATCTATATAACCTCTAATAGAAACCCTCCCAAAACAAGTTCTCCTCCTTGATTTTTTTTTCAGATCAAAATAAGATTCTTGCTACACCCTAACGAATAACAGACTCGAAAACAAAAGACTATGAGAAAACCCTAGCTCAGTGATTCTCTGTTTCTTCAACACATGGAAGCCAGAATTAAAGCTTTAGCTACTTGTGGAAAGAAACTTACCTAAATAAGATAATGCAACTTTCTCTGTTTCTTCAGAATCTCTCAATTCGACTTCTGTCTGCTTCCTCTTCTTGTTTTAACTTTTAAGGTTTCATTAAAGAGATGAGAAAGGATTGAGCTTTATGGAGAGAAGAAGCCCTAGCTTTTGAATGCTAGACCCCACCACTACTCTAGCAACGGTCAAATGTTAGGGTCCCATTACTAAAATAAAACAAGAAGTAACCGTAGCCGTTGGATTAAAAGCCTTTCATCTCTCTCCTCCATCATTGAACACAAAAGATATCCGCTGGGTCCCCCGTTCGTCTTCGCAAGTTGCAACGGTCGTCTCTTGCTGATCTGGTCACCCACCGAGAGAAGGACACGTGGACTATTCGACAGAGTATGTTCGGCGCAATGGACGGATGTTTCAACCAAAGTCACTTTTTCTTTTGTGCTTTTTGTTGACTGTAAAACGAAAAGATTCAACAATATATGTGTTGTTGTTTTCTTTGATGTTAATCTTACAATTTTGAGTTACCCTAATTATTAATTACACTTGTATCTGAAAATCTTTTCGTTGTAACGGTTCTATGCTTTCCTCCTCAAATATGATTTTACACAATGAATCATTACAATAATGATTCATCATTACATGTATAAATAAAACTAGTTAGGTTCTCCTGTATTGCTAAGTAAATGTTCTCTTTAAGCTGTTGACACCAAACATACCAACATTTAACAATTAAACAAATATTCAAGAAATGCATATATATATATATATATATATATATATATATATATCTACTATGAATAAAAGTTGCTAATAAATCCAAATGAGGCTGTCCACGTATGCCAATTTAATCCACCAATCAGATAAGAGAAAGTATCCACGTCACCTCCACATCACCACAGCTTCACAGAACAAAAAAACTAGGGTTATTTTCGATTTAGGGACTTAAACGATCGATTCCTTTCCTCAGTTCTTCGTCTCCGTTTCCAGAACCCACGATCTCTATCACAATAGAACCTCCTCTCCTCTTTACTCTCAGCTTTAATGGATTTCGTTTCAACTCCCTTGCAGTCTATATCTTATAAATCTCTAAATCAGTTCTTGGGTTCAATCAAAATCAGAAACCACAAAATCCTCTCAACACTCTCTAGAAGACGAAATCACCATGAAACCTGATGGAAAATCTCCACCGATCAAAAGTACCGGCAAACCCTCTATCTCCTCCACCAACGCTGCCTCAGTTGATCTCAGAAGAAACGAAACGGTAAGGCGGTTCTCCACTCCTACTCCTCCCCCAAAGCCGATGTTTTTGATTGATTCGTTGATTTTTCGTTGAATCCCTCCTGGAATTAGATGCTTAGCAATGGCTTTCTTCTGTTCTTTCACCGTTAAACCAATCATATTGTAAGTCATTACACATATGCTTCTAGAAGGTTTATATTCAGACATCCACAAAATAAATGGCTCATGTTTCTTGAACACATGTCTCTGTTTCTACAAGAATCTCAATTCGTGAACCATGTTTATATCTTTCTTGATGTTTGTAGCTTACGGCGTTTGAGAACTTCATATACGTCTTATTCTTCTCCAACTTCATGGTATATTTAGGTTCTGTAAACGTATGGTCTGGAATTGAGTATGTATATATATATATATCAGTATGTATGTAAGGTCTTGATAGTTTCGTTTGGATTAGATCTGAAGGTTATACATTTGTAATGAAACTGTTTGTTGTGTACTGTCAAAGCTTTTCATTTGACTTACTTCCTGTTAGTGGATCTGCTTATTGTTGAATTCATGCCCTTGTGTGATAATTACAGAAGGTTGTGGTAAGTCTAGGACAACTAAATGAATGAAATTCTTTAGCAAATCAGTGTACAGATTTAAACTTATGCTCTGTGATGTTGTTTATAGCCATACAAATTGTAAGATGGGTCTTATAATGTTGGAGTCTCTTTATTTTACTGTATAGTGTCTCACTTGGATGATTTTTCTTTTCTTATTTCAGTTTCCTGTGGGTCGTATCCATAGGCAACTTATGACCAGGGTTTCAGCACATGGAAGAGTTAGTGCCACTGCTGCTGGTTACACAGCTTCGATCCTAGAGTACCTGACTGCAGAATTTCTTGAGTTAGCTGGAAACGCAAGCAAAGATCTGAAAGTGNCGATCCTAGAGTACCTGACTGCAGAATTTCTTGAGTTAGCTGGAAACGCAAGCAAAGATCTGAAAGTGAAGAGGATAACTCCAAGGCATCTGCAGTTGGCAATCAGAGGAGATGAGGAGCTTGACACGCTCATCAAAGGAACCATTGCTGGAGGAGGTGTGATTCTTCACATCCACAAGTCTCTCATCAACAAAACCACAACTGAGTGATATTTTTGTTTCTTTGGTAGTTCAGTCTCGACATTGTAGCTACTAAATCTATATATGTTATGGTTGGTTTGCAGGAGAGATGTGAGAATACTATGGACTATGTGAAAAGGCTTAGAATTTGCATCCAATGGTTTCCAGAACTTGAGTTAGACTACGCATTTGAGCAAGAGAAGTTGAAGAATGCTATGGAGCTGAACAAGAAGCATTGTGCCGACTTGGGTGTGTTTCAAATATTCACATAGCTTCTTCTTCTCCTGGACATTTTACATAAAAGAAAATTATCTTTGTATGCATTTGCTCACAGAGGTTAGTTTGAAAGAGAAGGAAGTGGAGTTAAATTTGGTTATCCATGAGCTTAGGAAGAACTTCTCCTCTGTTCAAGTGCAACTTGCCAAAGAACAAGCTGAGAAACTGGTAAGTAATTGCTAGATTCCGGTTAAAAATAACTTGTGGCTAAGTTTATCTTTTATGATATTCTAAGTTGGTTTTTGTTCTGGTTAAGGTTGCAACTGGTTCACTTGAAAAAGATCAAGAAGCAAGACTTTCTGTTCAAAAGCTGCAAGCTGCTCTCACAGAAGAGCTGGGGAAAACTCAACGAGAGCTTCAAACAGCTAACCAGAGGGAGACAAAATGAAAATTTCCAACGGGAAATGGTTAGTTTTGACTGACATTGTGTATGTTTTTTTGTGTTTCAGATTCAAACTGTGAATGACATGTACAAACTCTTGCAAGAGTATAACTCTAGCTTGCAACCTTGGTTCAAAATTAAGAAGCGAAGAGGCTGGAGTTTAGCGCCTATCGCCATGGCGCCATATTGCGAGCGCCTTGTGTACCTGCAACAAAAAGGTACTCTGCAAAACCATAATAATGTTAAGACTTAAAACAGAAACTTATATTAAAAACAGCTACTGACTTAAAGAGAATAAAATATGATATAAACTTATCCATACCTCCCGCTGCGTTGCTAGGGTTTGGAGCTTCCATGACTGGGACTCTTCCCAATTTCCCTATAATATGTTTGTCTGAATAACGAAACATACATTTCATGGCCCGCACGCAAGCTTCTCTATGAGCTGGACAGTAAGTTGTGGTTAGGTTTAGTGCAGCTTGGGAGATACAGTTGAGACAATCTACTCGTGTGAGTACTCTGTTGCAGGGTTCTATGGCTTCTACTCGTTCTTGATCTCCGACCAAGAAGCTGTAGAAGTTTTAGGTGTTGGGTTAAGAGATTGAAGAGACAAGATGGTTAAGGTTGTTTGAGAACAAAGATCCGGAGAAGTTTCTTTGTTGGGATAAACATGTTGCGTTTGAAGGGAGATTCCATACAGAACCATCAATTTTTATGGTGATTGGTTGTGTGCTAAGCTGAGAAAATGGACGAATAAGAAGAAAAACAAGAACAAGTGTTGCGGTCGAGAAGGAGAAGAAGAACAAGAACATGTCATGACCATAGTGAATGTTCTCAGACTTTGAAATGTTTTAGTTTCCTCAGTGGTTTTCTTAGTTTATATATTTGAAATCAAACCATATGAAACGCCAAGTTCATAGACCAAAAACATGAAAAGTTGACATAATTTTATTTTTTAAAAATTCAAAAGCACTTGTGCTTGATGCCCGTGACTTACGTCAACATAGGGGGTCCCTACATCGCTATAACAATGTCATTAGATAGCTGAATTAAGTTAGTATTCTACGGTGGTGTTGATTTAAAAAAATGTTAAGCTTATAAACCATGTGTTCACTAACTAGAGTAAGCTACCAAGAGTGTGTTGTATAAAAGTAGTACAATAGATTTTTTTTTTTCATTGATTCAATATGTATTGTAATATATGAAACTAATTAATGCAAGAAGACATGGAGAGCAATCAAGAGATGAGAAAGGCTTGGTTAAGTGGGTGGACAAAATGATTAGGCTGAAGTTGCTGGCAGTGAAGGGAATGAGGAAAAACCATTTTGAGGAGAGTTTGGTTACCTGGTTCGGAACCAGAATTTCAAGATAGAAGATGAGGAATTGAGGATATTGTTTTAAGATTATGTGTTTGTAGTTAAAACAATAATGATGCACTTGATGTAAAAAAGTTTAATTGAATAAATTTTACATTCATTCAAAAAAAAAAAATATATATATATATATATATAACTAATTTTAGAACTAAATACTGAACATTCTTACTATTGGAACTAATAATAATATTATAATAACAGAACCATCAGAAACGGCAATCAATACAAAAATTGAACCATAAAAGACGGACACTGGCTTCACGTAGTTATATAATTCAGAATGTATAATATATATATATATATATATATATATATATATTTCATAAAATTATAAGCTATTTTAATAATGTCTAAAGTTAAGAATTTTTTGATGTGCCACCGCAGATGCGGTT